TAATAATCGAGCTCAATTTGTTGTTAAAATTTATTTAATTTTTCTATTTTCTATTTTCCTATTTCTTTCATCTTTTTTTTTCTTCTTTTTTTTTTATGTTAACAACACAGGAACGGGCAGATGAATTAAATTAATAAATTAAGACAAAAGGCAATATCTTACTTACGATTAATTATAATTATATTCATGACTTCAAAGCCAATATCCTGCCATGTAATATTAGTAACATAATAATTTCTGCTTAATAAGATAGCCAAAAAGTTCCTTCAAAGAATATATATCGAAGCATTGGCATACAAAAATGTTTATGAGCAAAATAAATAACATTATTGTTCCTCTATGAATATCAGTATCATATTACATATACATACCAATTAAAATTAAATAAATGCTTTCAACAGACAGATATATATATATATATATATATATATATATATATATATATATATTTATAATTAATTAGATTATCGTTTAAGTAAATTTAAGATTAAGTAAGATTAACCATATCTCGTGTATTTAATAGTAGCAAGTTTTCATTATTTTACAGTAGCTATGTAGAATATGTAGATTAAATATGTAGATTAATTAGGCGCTAATTAAATGTTATATACACAATTTTTTTTTTACAGTCAAATATGCATATTTATTATAAGTAACTTTTTTTATTTACATAGCATAAAATTAATAACGCATTGTTTTTTTTTTTTTTTTTTTTTTTCATAAAATTAACAAAATTTTACATAATACAGGAAAAGGGATATTTCGAAGAATGAATTGTATAAAATTGTTGCATTGCAAAGACATTAACGATATTGTCAAATAATAAGGAAATATTATTGTTTTATGTAAAATTTATGTAAAATTTCAAGTGTTTTGTTCATTATACAGATTACAAATATTATTAATTCATTTAAATGTTTATAAATAATTATTACATTAAATAAAATTATAATTAAATTTATAACATATTTAATTAATAATTCTAATTTTATATCTCTTGCTATAAGTAAAATAATATGTCTAATATTTGCAATATTCTTCTTAAAGTAATGATAAATAGATGTTTGAAATTAAAAATTTATTTATTATTAAATGAGAACAAGACACAAGTTGCTTTTGGCTATGTAATTTGATATGATTCGATAGTGGTACAATAGATTCTACAAAAGTTTGACTCTTAAAATGAAATTTTTGTTTTAAATATCATATCATTTTATTAGACAAAACATAAATAACGAATAATAAGTATCACATATCACGGGCGATAAACTGTTTTTTTGTTCTCAGAATTTATGTAGATCTACTTATTTAAATCAAAAGGTAATACGTTGCTATTGCTTTCGTTGTTTTTCTTCTGATTAAGTTTTTAATTTCATTTTCATTAAATAGCTTTTACGTAAAAATTGAAGTTTTAATTTTATATTTAATAGAAAATTTAATAGACACTACCTTTTACTATTAATGTATTAGCTTAGAAAATTAGAAATAAAGTATCTATTATATCTATTTAATATCGATACGTGTTCACTCTACAGTTAACTTAGACACTTTTCATGTTATATGATCACGAAACGCTATTAATATAAGTAATTTAGGAGAAAATTAAATTGCACAATTATATAAATACAGAAATGAAAATAGCAGTACACTTGTATAAACGCAAAAAATGCAGATGAAATTTATTATTTTATTCGTAATTTCAATCATTTTTATCGTTGAAGTTGTCACGTGCGGTCGGAGAAGGGGCGGTGGTGGCGGCGGAGGAGGGGGAGTAAGAAAAGGTCTCCGCAATCGAGATAAAGCACCATTTCAAGTACCTGGATCAAGAAATGATAACCAGAAAAGTTCAACGATGAAATAAAAAAATTTCCAAATTGTAAATACCAGTTCAAAAACATGAATGAAAACTTTATTGATTGGATAATTTTTAACAAATGACGTCATTACAATCCTGTTAAATACAGTTTAAATCATGTAATGTTAAATGATTCTATTAAAATTGTTTTCATAATAACAAATCAATTAATCAATTACATATTTATTTACATACCTTATATATATATATATATATATATATATATGAATTTGTTTTCTTTTTTATCGATTTCTTCGAATTGAAAATGGTGGATTATTTAGAAATTCTGACATTAGCATAGAGCTGAAGTTCAATTACATTGCTAATGGAATTGAAAAAATTTCCTAATAATTTTTCAGATTTTTCATTTTGCTAAAAAAGTAAAGATAAGGCTATTATCGATAATATAATTATTTTCATTCCTCTACGTGACCGCTAAATAATTAAATTAAGCACGCTCTAATTTATTATAATAGTCTAATCCACGAATATATATTTGTAAAAGTTTTATATTTATAAGTAGGAATATACAGTCATATATGTAGTAAATTGAAAAATTTGTCGTAGTATTTGAATTCGGAAAAACAAAAAACAAAAAAAAACAAATGCTTTGGAAAATCGTTATAATTGTATTTTTAGTATATATTCATTATATTAGTTGTTGCTCCAAAAAGAAAAAAAGGAGAAAAAATTCCGGAAATGCGAATGTGATAATCATTATAGAAAATACTACTACTACTACGTTAGCACCAATATCTCCTGGATAAACAATCTGATGCGAATGGACGTAAAAATCGCTAAGAAGTTGAATCGTGAAGATTATTTACATTTTCCAAATATTTCAAGTATTCTCTGTGATTTATGAAAATATTTAAGGAACAATAAATATATAACCACATTGACAGTTTATAATTATTTTTAATTATACACCTTCACGTAGTGTTGTTATTAATATTAATTTCAATCGATATAATTAATGTTCATTTATTTATTTATTTATTTATTTTGTTTAGTTAATGAGACACGATCATTACATTAATAAAAATACAGCAACAACAGTGTAATATAACAACAAATCATAGTTTATATAATCTTATTTGTGGTACCTAAAGAGCTCAATTTCAATATCAAATGTCACAGTTGATTAAAATGACTTGAAACGCATGTCGAATGAAAAAATCTGTCACAAAAGACGAATTATTTACAATTATAATATTTGAAAGTTATTAATAATAATTACTTTACTAATAATGTTTTTACGATACTCTATGATTAATTTTATAGGTGTAAAAGTCGTTGTTTATCGCATAATATATCGCACGCATTTCTAGAATAAAAAATATTTATAAACAACCGTATCTTTATAATACATATACGTAACAAACACGCGCGCGAACACACACATGCGCAAAAAACATACCCACCCCCCTCTCTCGCACACATATATATAAAATTTTTTTTTCTTCACCAAAACGACTTATTAGCATATTTATTCATATACAACTAACATATGCATGCAACATTTTTTAAACTTTTAACTATATTCCTTATTGTTTTTAATATATGTAATATTAATATTATGGATAAAATATGTGTATTAAGACTACTTATTTTTTATTAAAATTTATTGTATTTTATTAATAGATTATTGGAATGCAATAAATCTGTCTACAAAACAGAAAGTGCCGAATAATAATATAAAATTACATTGATAAAAGTGATGTAATGTTAAAAATAGAATTGCAATTTACTTTGCTTGAAAATAAATCAAAAACCATTTTAGTCGACTATGTGATGTGGTTTTCAGCGAAATTTTGACATCTACCAGCTGAAACAACGAATCACAATGTGTCAAAACCTAACTAGTTGATTAGCGCTACACGCGATCGTTGTTCATTCTCCGTCGAATGAAACAAATGTTTTTTTACATAATTCACGCAAGTTTCTCATAAATAAAACAAATGATTCGTCAGTCATATATATGTAAATGTGCAATTAAACTCGATAATGAATCGATCATCGAGCCTGAATAATTTACCATGAATCATTGGTCACGTCACGAATGAATTAACTAAGTAGATATAACCGAAGCTTGTGAAAGAAAAGCCAATGGTTTTTCTGTCGTACGGGCGCTTTTACTTGCACATACCACTCTGTTCCCGAAACTTTCGCTCGCGAAACTCATTAAGATTTGACTGCCGGAATCTAGTATCAATTTTTTCACTGAGTACCGTCGTAAACTCCTACTTAACGAGCACAGTGTCTTCAGTGACTTCAGCAATATTTTTATCATTTTTATCTCCACATGCCGTGCGATACTTCTCTGACAGAAGTTTTGCATATGCAAATTTAAGATATTAAACTAGAATTCCCAGTCATTCAATCCGAATTATCTTAATCGGCATTTCATTTATTAGATTAAACATGCGTTATCCTTATCTCATTGACGATTATAATTTTACACGTAATTAGAATTTTAAACAAGTATCGACAATTACAACGTACAATAAATACTTCCTAGTTAGATTAACAGACAGAGATCGTTTTATAAGTCAAAGTGTATTTGTCGACTTTTAGCACAATATCAAATAACATTAACAAGCATTGTGTTTAAAATCACATAAAAAACACTACGCGTATAGCATTAATATCCGCAATTGCAAAGAAAATTACTTTTGCAACGTGTAATTAAGCTGCATTGCCCCACTATGTCCATCCTGTTCCTGACAATTATATTGCCAAAATTTCGAGATCTCTTTAATAACAGATAGTGGAAGCACTCGTTGTGTCGCGACTTTACCGTCAAAGTAATCTTTCACGCCGTAATGAGCCTCCCAATATACCAAGTGCATTAATGACGTCACAGCCGTCAAAATCAAAGGTAAACGATTGACGATGCGGTACTTGGTATGCAGCACGTGCTAGGATCTGGTACTCTGGTGGCTCTGTCGCCTTAGCGAGGATCTTTGGAAACTCGAGGCCCATGCTCGAGCCGGAAAATCGCTCGCACCTAAAGGACATCCAGCTCCAGCAACCACTCGCCTATTTCCATCTCCGAAAGGCTAACGGAATAGCGCGGGCGGGTTGCCGCGCTGCCGCCTCCGTCGAGGAGAAAGAGGGGCGCGCCGGTATAAAGCTGAAAGTGCGAGGGTCCAGCGGCCCAGTGCGAGTCCAGATATGAGAGTCGGCGAGATGCTGTGCGAGGCGGTCCGGCCGCTTTTTATCCTCTTCCTCGTCATCGCAGTCCACGCCAGTGAGTCGAGGCCCTTTGTCCCTTTGTCGGCGCAGGTGCAACGCCATTGCCCGAATCGCAATCGTTGAGCGTGCGCGTTTCGGCCGACGAGCCGATTGTAGGAGAATGTGCCTGCGGGAAAGTGAAAAGGCGCCCGTAACCGCGATAATTGGCCAGCACGGAACGAGGACGCGCCGGGCCGAGGCGATTAACGATATTGGCTGCGCGCGCCTCGTATTTTTCGTCGCGACGTTCCATGTGGAATTCTTGGGAGCTAATAACGTTTACGTATTGAGTGATCGCACGGAATTTATGTTTATTTGATCGATTGCTGCTAATGATAGTAGTGATCGATCTTCGATCTTCGAGTGTGGCTTTCAAGTGTTAGGAAATTGTAGGTTGATTCATGCTTTTGTGAAAGAGATGCCGAAAATGTTCTCCTTTATTTCTTTATCTTATATTATTAGCGAAGATCATTATAATTAATACTTAGGATTTTGACTTAAATATTAAAAAATTAGATTGAAAAATGTTGATATAGCTTGGCTCGTTAGTCAGTATACATTTTGTTTTATCGTCTATGTACATTGCGTTGCTTTTGTTAATGAAAAATTACAGTTTATTGTTTAAAAAATATTTAAGTGATTTTGCTATGATCCCAGTAGATTGGATATAGCGTCATTATATTAAAAAATTTCATATTCAAATAGCAATTTATAAGGTCTCAGGGCTCACTGTTCATTTGTATTTGAATTTTTTTAATTCAGCAGTACCGACCGTTGATTAATAAATGGCAAAGTTAGAGAAATTGTCGCACCATAATGTATAAAGGCTCGATTTGAAATTTATTAATTAGTGGCTTTATAAATTTATATTGAGGGGGCAAATAATTCACAAGATAAGCATCTGTCACACGAATATCTTTGCTCGTTTGCATAATCATTAATTTAAGACAAAAGCTTAAATAACAATATTTTATTGCTAATTTCATGAACTTATAATAATGAATATCAGAATCGGTTGAAAATAGCAATGAATTAACATAATTATTGTTAAGTAAACATTATTAAGTAATCAGTAGTATATTCGTAAGCTAGTAAATTGTGATAAAAGAAACGTATGACTTTATTTACAATTGAAGGAATTACAGTTTACGTAATTGTGAATTGTGAATTGATAACTTAATTAATACACATTATATAAACAAATTCTTTATAATTATTTTAACTAAATTTATCAATTTATAACCAGTTAGAAAGTTACAAAAGATTAAAAAATAAGTATCAAATAATAAGTATATTTACCAAATAAGTGGGTAATTAAAAAAAAAAAAAAAAAAAAAAAAAAACACATAAGCATAAAAAATAATGCAATATAATAATATTTAATTTTCTATTTTTCATCTGTAATTATCGTAAATTCTACGCCGCATAAATTATTAATCTGTAGTTTGTTTAACCAAATAATTCTCAACTCATCTAATTAATTAACTTAAGTTAATAGTAAGCATCAAAGTCGTGAAAATTAATAGAATCGATTATTTTGTCAAGCAGAAATACCACCCTTTTATATTATTTTATGTAAAAATATTATTTTATGTTATATTATTTTATATATATATATATATATATATATATATATATATATATATATATATATATATAACATTTCATTTCCGCGTTGACACTCATTATTCATTATTCAACAACAATTAATTATTGTGTAGATGCATTACCTCTACAATATTTACCAGATATTCCGGGCTATGTACCTGTTTATATAAGATACGGTGATCAGCCATTAGAAGAAATTAATCCAACTCTAGCTGAAGCCTTCCACGAATCAAGTAGCATAATAAAGGTAAGATTACATTAGAAATGAAAACAATGTGATGAGGAGGTAATCATTTTGCATTATCCAGCGAGTTTAATCATGTGTTATTTCATTTGCATAGATTAGATTTTAAAGGCGGATATCTTTACAATAAAATTGATCCCAAAAATTCTTCTAATTCTAACATCGACTTCTAACCCAATAAATTTGCTTATTATAAGCTATGTTGTATAAATTGTAACTGAAATTTCATATAAATTTTCATAATTTAAGTGCTGGTATAGACTCTGAAAATTTATTTAAAAAAAAAAAACAAACAAACAAACAAACAAAAAAAAACAAAAATTGTGAAATAACTTGAATCGATAATTTATTAATAATAAGACGATATATTTTACAGAATATTCGGAAAGTTCCATTAATTCGGATACCATTTGAAACTCACAACAAGGTTTTGCCTGATAAAAATGATATTTCGTTAGAATCGAGAGAAAAAATTACGGCTGAAAGAAATATCCAGCTACCGATACCATCGAAACAATTAATTTATGTCTTACCTAAAGAAAAAAATACTTTCACAGAAGACAGCAAATTGTCCGAAAAAAAATCTGTTATAATGAAGGTAAATTACCATTTTTATTGTATAAAACTTAATGAAAATAAGACTTTGATTATTTATATTTATTCGTTTCAGGTGCTTAAAGCGTCAACGAAGGAAAAAACTTATGTTAATAATAATTCGAAAGAAATTACGGAAAAAGAAGGAAATACATCATTTACCTTTTTCTAGTCAACGTATTGTAGTTTTTCAGTCTTAATACTATTTTATTCTAAATTAAAGTTTTCCAAATATTTGCATTTTATTGCAAAGTTTTTAGCAAAAAGCAAAAATATAAAGACCAATATGTAAGCAACATAAACAATATTAAGGATCTACAATGAAAAAGTATTTGCATTTAAATTATATGCAAAATATCGATATGTTAAAATTAATATTGAATCTCTCTGAATTAATATTAAATATACATAAGTATATTTTCCTTTCATATAATAAAACAGTATTAAGCCAATAATATTAAAGTGCAATACTATATAAAAATTAATTTTACTATAACAAATTTAACGTATAAATAATTGGTTTGTACCTTAATTGCATTTCAAACATTATTAATTTTTTTTTTTTTTTTTTTTTTTTTTTTTTTTATTGTAAAACAATCTATGTATAAGTATTATCAAATAATTTATAGTAGTATATATTAGGAGATTAGATATATTATAATTACTACTGTTTATTATTTATTTTTATTTCGTTTATTTAGTCATTGTTCTTTTCTAATTCTGACAATACTAGATTTTCTCAATCAGCCTTAGGTTCGTTGCTAAAACTTAAATTATATTTCACTTAATTTCGTTTAATTATAGGCACACGAATACGTTTTTTCCATTCGTAGTTTACTACGAACAAATACAATTTTCTAATATTGAAAAATATCCACTACGCATATTTAAATAATGTAAATAATTATTTAAAAATCACATTATTAAAAAAAATTACGTGTATACCATATTGTATCAATTATACTGAAAAGTAATTATTTTAGTCTAGTAATTTTCATTAATAAGTCAATCATTAATTCTTATTGTCACATTAAAATTATCAAATTTTATATAATACTTTATAAATTAAAATAATAATGAATTTCAATTTGCGGAGCAATTGAACTTGCTATTATTTTAAAGCTGTTTATTAATGTACAGTTCGTGTAATACTCAACACAATAAAAAATTTGTATTAACGTGGTTCAATAACCAAATTAGTAACAAATATTTAGCGTTAAAATAAAAAAGGATTATTTTATAAAGCCAGTTTTACAAAATATTTATGAATAATTAATCATTTCAATTGTTGGAAGAAAGCAATTTGTATCTCCTTCTCTCACAAGTAAAACAAATATTAAGCAAAGTACCTAATGTTCAGACTCTTTATTATCTCATTTTCCCTACCAATTCTATCTCATTATTCAAATTAAAAATAAAATATTAACAAAGTTCATTATTCTCGTAAGAATAAAAACAAATTATAATATAACAGATAATATCATTTAATTGATATCTGATTATCATCACTGACAGACGGTCTGACATTACATAATATAATAAAAAAAGGGTAAATAAATTTTTGTTAATTAGTGAATTTTGCCGCATAAATGATCAATATATGTATATGGATGTAAAAAAGATGAAGAGGAGAAGTAAGAATAAGGAAGAAAACTGTAATTGTTCGCATATATGAAACATAATGTTATATCTTACAGTGATTTGTTAATAAGAATAAGATTTTTTTACACGAATTATCAAATGTGTCTAATTTATTTTTTGTTTATCGTACAATATGTCATAAATTTTTCGATCGAGGTATAATATAAGATTTCTTATACTGGTCAATGTTATAAATAAATATCTCAACTAATTTAGAATGAAGATGTTTGATTTATCAGAGGTTTTATATAATAAAAAAAATAATCTTCCATCGACCGTTTCAGACACGTATTTGTTTTTTATATTTACAAGTCTAATCAATGTTTAAATAATATTTAAATACATTACTCATTTATATATATATATTCACATTGATATGAGTATTGTCTTATATAAAGCTTTCTTGGTAAATTATTTAATCCAAATATCACTAGTGTTTCGATGGACCACACAAAAAATGTGTGACTTTATTACCGCATTGACTTATACGATAATAAAAAGAAATAAATAAATTATGACGATCTGAAAAAGAAGCTGATTTTTTAAAAATGTGAAATGGTCAATGAATACACAAACAACCAAATTATATTGTAAAAAAATATAAATATAAATAACTAAAACTATTGTATTATATTTCATATACGAGTCTTATGTATATTATCGAATCATTAATATGTACAAGTATATTAAGAATTTCTATATTGTCACCTACATGTCATCTAAACTATAAAAAAAAATAATCTAAATAGACAAAAATTGAATCAACTGATTCTAATTTATTCCAAAAGTAAAAAGCGATTGCTTTAATATATTGATGATTTGCAATGATAAACAAAGAGAATATGAATATTAGAACCACATGTTAGCAATGTTGAATTAAACATAAAGTTTTTTCGTCTAAATTAAAATTTACGGAAAACAAAAGCAACGTTTATCATTGATAAGCCATTACAAAAGACCTTGCGTTCTGATTTCTTCGATAGACTTGTAGAATTTTGCTTTTTAGATGAAGAATAAATCCTACTTATTGTTGTGTATAATATTTTCAGTAATTGAACATTTTTTTTCATATTCGAGGTAATTTTATTGTTTCGAATTTTATACAAATCCGTGACAATAATATAATAATATAAATAATGATAATATTTTTATATCGTTAAAAATTTTTCTATTTAATTGCCATATTTTTGTCATATTTTGTCGTGTTTAACAAAATACAAAAATGAAACATTTTATTTTCCAGTAGTCTGCATTTTCTTGGACGCTAATGCATGTATCATATATTATTATTATTATTATTATTATTATTATTATTATTATTATTATTGTTGTTGTTGTTGTTGTTGTTGTTGTTGTTGTTGTTGTTGTTGTTGTTGTTGTTGTTGTTGTTGTTGTTGTTGTTGTTGTTGTTGTTGTTGTTGTTATTATTATTGTTGTTGTTGTTGTTGTTGTTGTTGTTGTTATTTATAACTAAGTTATATATAACTAAGAGGAAAATAAAAAAGTATTTGCTTTAATGCATGTGATTTGAGAAAGACCGCGATCAATGTACTTAATAATTTTACGAAAGCTGTATTGATATTTAGAAAATACCATAAGTGCAGCAGATTAGCCTCATTATCGTCAGATGAAATTTTTCGATAAACAATTAGAACAACAAAATTATATATAAATAATGTACGATGCTTTATATCCGTCGATTATCAAAAATTATACCCTACACTTTGCGATTTGTAATATAGTAATAGATAAACATTTATTTCTAATTTACACGGATATATCTCGCATTGTATTCCTAATTTTCTAATTATTATTGCTAAGATATTTCGTATTTATAAAACTATTATTTCATATTTTAATAACAATAAGAGTTAAACTATAATAAACATTGGTAATTTGTTAGAAGAGCATCCAGAGTTGAAGAGGCAAATTTTTCTAACTAAAAATAGAAAATTTTATATTAATTTAATCGGCGTTAGTATTATGGTAGTTTAAATAAGTTTTTACAATTTTTAAAAATGACCAACAAAATAAAGTTGTAGAAACATTTTTAATGTTCACTTGATTAGTTATTGGAATGTATATGAAATGATTATTTAATGATAATAGTTTATGACTTTGTAATAAATAATAAAATGAATCTGTTTTATCGATTAAAACAATTTGAAAGTTATTTAGTAACTTTCATAGTGTATACATGCACATAATTATAATTATTATTCCTGGACAACACACCTCTATATTATATTTATATATATGTATACATAATTTCTTCGTAAAAGTTGCAGATACTTTTCCATTTAATAACAGTACGCCTATGCTTTATGAATTTATATATGCATTATAGATGTTTAATGTCTAGTTTTAGACATTAAAACAAAAGTTTTAGTAATGAATCCACGAATGCCAATTTTTTTTTTTTTTTTTATTTATTTGATCAGCCATTACTTCCTTTAACTTTTACTGGAATATGCATTTATTCCTTTCTTTTAGAATTAAGTTGGGAGAAGTGAGTAATCTGTATTATCGACCTCGGAAGTTCTTTCATTGTGTAGCAGACATGCATGAAAGATTTAACGACACTGCACGTACACACGCATCGAGTGATCAATGATGATACGATAGGCATAGTAGGTATTTGCGATAGTGCTGCCGCTTTATCATCTGGATGCCGCCATACGAACTAATTAACCTCGCATCTATCTTACTGTCATCCAAAGTCAAAAAGATTTGTATGTAGATTTAATGTAAGCATTTAGTTTTTAAGAACAATGTAAATAAATTCAAGCACTAAGTATTTATAGAAGTGGGGCGGAGGTGCATCATAGGATATTTTAAACTTGGTAACATTTTTTTTTTTTTTTATAAATTATTAGTCTTTGTTAGGATGTGCAGAATTTTTAGTAACCTGTGTAAACAATCGTTTAAATTTTTTAATTACGGCTTTTCGGAATACATGCGCGTGTGTTGAAGCCTTTAATTCGATTATCGTTATAAGAATTTTGTGAGATTTTTATAATGACGTAATTAATATAATTTATTTTCATATGACATTCAAATATATAAGTAAAGGATACGTTCTTTCTCAGTATATTAATAATACGTGAATTTTATTTGGCAACTATATTTCTAGATTTGCCATATAACCGAACATGTCTGGGCAATCCCATCAATTTCCCTCGGGTTTTCCAAATCCACAACAGAACCCAATGCGTAGTCAATTTGGTGGAGGGCAAATGGTATCTGGACTGATGGGTCCTCAACAAGGTAAAATCAAAATAAGTAATATTGAAATTATTTTGTTGTGAAATAGCCTTTGGTTATACATGACTGTTATATATAGATCAACAATGACATACTATTACTATAGATCAGGATCAAGATACATTCTATATTGTAGTAATGATTACATCGACAAGTTTTATTATACAAGTCAAAATTTTGATTAAAATAGTGCAATTATTTCATTGACATAAATTCAATAATTAAATTGAAAAATTTAACGTCGATAAGCACTTATTTTTCATTGTACTTATTTTTATACTTATTGAAATTAATTTTAAGCAACTATCGAGGCTACAAATTTTTAGCAATTAAATACAATTATTATAGATTGTTTCTAATCTTTTATAATGTATGGATTAAAATTTATTAATATCTATATATATGCGATCCGTAGAATTCTGCGCCACATTGAATATAAACTAGAAATTAGTCATTTATATTGATGTAAGTAAATTATATAACTGTTTAAATATTAATACAGAAAATCTTAATATTACAAAAGAATAGTTATTGTAATATGCAAAAAATTACGGTTCTATAGAAACTTTACAAACGTCCAATTATCATTATTACAAGCTTTAAATAATAATACATTTTATTATAGGTATGGTAAGTGCTCAGCAATTTGGCGGAGGAGTAGGAGCGGCAGTTGGTCCAACTGCATTAGGAATGTTAAATGCCCAGCAAGTAATGGCACAGCAGCAACCGATGCAGCAACAACTTCAGCATCAACAGCAAATGCATTTGCAGCAGCAACAACAGGCTGCCTTGGTTCAACAAAATAATCAAGCTAGTGGGACACCCACAACAGCTCAAATACCAGTTCCTCAATCTCAGCCTCCTGTACAGAGACAACCAAATAGAGATTTAAATACAGCGAGTCTTTGTAAATTGGGACAAGAAACAGTTCAAGAAATTGTCTCTAGAATGCAGGAACTTTTTCAAACTTTAAAAATTATTCAACCGCCCAATGGTTTGCTCATAGATTCTTCATTATTACTCTTTAAAAAAAACGCGTGAATGCGATAATTAACTTTTATACTATTTATTTATCATTATTATTTATTATTAATTTAATTACATTCTTATGTATTTGGTTTTTCTTATATTCCAGAACTATATTCTTCTACATTCTTTTTTCTAAATTCTATTTGACATGTGACACAAATTTGCAATAGTCGTAACTAATATTATTAATTTAAGTATATTTTTATCTGTTAAAATTATGAAAGTTCAAAGAAGACTTACAAATTATTTGTAATAGTTGTTGATATATTTTCATAGGCTCAATCACTTTATTGACAATATTAGCTTTACAGTTAGGAGATTAAATTATGTTACAAATATTCGTATCTTATACTTAATTTTGAATGTTGAATTAGTACTAAAACTAAAATTGAAATTTTACATTTAATCGTTTAATTTTAGTGACTTTAAATCGTATAAACAATTAAGGGATAAAAAAAAAAAATAGTGACAAAGTTAAATATGTCTATTAATGTGTGCATGGTTGAAAAAGATTTTAATCATTAGAATTAAAAATCTAAATATCAACTACATTTTGATGTTTATATTATAAAACATATAAATTATGTTATGTATTGAAAATAAAAAGTAATAAGATTTAATGATATACGTGACGCATAAAGTAAAAATAATGTTTATATATAATATATAATTAAATTTAATTGAGAATACAATGCTTTTCGTATAATTGTTATTTACATTATTTTAGGTACATCTCAAGGACAAAATTTATCAAACGAAAAGAAAATGAAAGTTCAGGAACAATTAAGAACGACGAGTTTACTTTTTAAGCGTTTAAGGGTTATATATGAAAAATGTAATGAAAATTGTCAGCTTCAAGGCATGGAATACACTCATATCGAGAGTTTAATTCCAATTAAAGAAGAATGGGATATGAAATCTGATGAAAAAAAGGCTTCGGAGGCTTATAGACTTGCATGCGAAGAGCATAAGGAAGCAATGGAGGTACAAATACAATAATTGTTTGCATTATTAAAAATCTTTTTCAACAAAAAAATTTGAATGAAAAAGTTTGAATCTTTGACAAAACAAACACTGCCCTATTTTACATTATATATATATAGAACTAAATATATAATCCTCTGTGTTTTAGCAACTAGTATTGAAAAATAGGCATCTCAAAGAAATCATCGATCATCTAAGACGTATTATCTCAGAAATAAATACAATGATGAGCATGCGCCGCTCTTAAGTAGACCAAATGTAAATAATATACCTATATTAATTATAATACGTTATATAATAAAATTTTTACACAAATCGCATAAAAGTTACATTATTTCAATGTATAAATGTTGTTATATCTGTTCCATTTCAAAAAGAATCACATCATTAGTTCTAAGTATAGCGTCTGGTATTATTCCCAATGGTGTCGTTAAATTTCTCACATACAGTTCAAAAAAATTTATATCGCAACCACGAAATTCAGCAGACACAGTTGTATTTTCATACAAGTGAAACTTGGCTGGATTACCTGCAATGAAAATTGAGGTTATTTTTATGGGTACTGATATTCAATATATACATTGACGAATATCTTAACATTATGAATAATAATATTATTCTAAGATATATAGAGCATATAATTTTTATAAATTAATGAAATTATTTTTACCAACAACGCCGGTAATCACACGTAGAAATCGTTCGCGTAAAAACGCCCGCGCATCTTGTTTATCTGGTGTTGAAAAATCACTTGTGGCACCCTCGTTCTCCAATTCAGTGTGCCCCACCTGCTTTACAGTTACGTCAATCGAAGATTCTGACTTAGAATCGGGCATTTCGAAATCAAATCCGACTATTGCAATCGACTACCTATAAACAATATATATCCTTTGTGTCACTAATTTCGTTTGTGATGACCCTTGAACTACTTGAAGCGCCAAATTCAAACATCAAAGTAACAGCTTTTCACTCCTTCAATGAATTCATAAGATTTTCAATCGCATTGAAAATTAATGAAATGTCTAATGCTCGCGTAAGATATAAATATTCAATGCTATTTGTTTTAAATTTATCTAGGAATTCAGATAAATGGGAGATAAATACTTTCAGGGACTTTTTAATTAAGGGGAACTTTCAATATTAAAGAAATTAAAAATAAAAAAATTTTTATAAACGAAGAATTTATAATTTATCAGAGAGCATTTTATTAATATGGGAATGTTGTGAATCAATGTTTTCTGTTTTTTTTTTTTTTTTTTTTTTTTTTTTTTTTTTTTAAATTCTGTCTAATGATTCTAATTGTTTCTTCCTTTCTTTTCTTTTTTAATTTCTGATAATAGCATTAATAACGTTTCTATGAACTACTTTAGAAATATAGCGGAAAATATTTGTAACGATAAAATAAATTTTAATAAACTTATCTCGGCAAATATAATGAATATTTTATCAACTGCTTACACTTTCTATGAACCTTTTTTGCTGGATGATGAGGGTAGACGAAGCCCGCATGTTTCATTTTTTCTCCAAGTGAGCCGGATTTTCTCTAGTTTCTCAACACACGCGAAAGAGTAAAAATGTCGACGACAAAATACCTCACAAGTTTTTTCTTTCTTATAATTATGCTGTTATGTGACTTAAGTGAGTATTCGATTAACTTAATAGAAATGGAAAGTAAATTATTAAAAAATTAATTTCACATTGAATTTTATACTAATCAGTTTAAGAATGAAAAGTACGTTGAGTTTTATAAAAAAAATATATATATATATATATATATATAAATAATATTAAACGCAATAAGAATAGATAATTAATGAAAAGCCCTATAAACTTTTAACAGCTGAAAAAAACAATTTAATGGTTGAAATAAATTCAATATTACAATTATTTAAAACTGAAAGAATATGAAATTAATCGATATATAATTAAAATATTGACGTAATGATAATTATCCAAATCTTTAAATTTATAATATATAATATATTATCATTCGGTATGAATTTAATATTAATTTTAATATACTTCAAAATATTACATTAATATTTCTCTATATTATCTTTTTTTTTTATCTTAAATTATTTAAAAAAAAAATCAGAATATCATAAATTAATCGAACGGATATTTATTCAAATAAACTGAATTTCAGGTATGATTAAATATTTTGTCGCATTTATAACTTAAAATCGTTAAAAGTTACTTGCTACTTGCAATGCAAATAATTTGTAAAATGTATCCATTTTAAACTGAATTTTTTATTTTTTCATAAATAATTGAAGTCAAACAGAAATTAAATTCATACAATTAACTACTTGACATTTTATTTCTAAATTAAGTGTACATAGGCACACATAATAATAAAATTAAGATCATTTATTTTGGTAAGAAAATGTTGTTTTTAGGTAAAATTAGGTAAATATTGAAAAATGTTGGGTATACAATTGATGGAAATTCTATCAATATAGACATTATACATGAAATTATTACAAATTTCGCTTAAAAAATTAACACAATGTCAAGCTATAGTCTCTTAAGAATATGCATTTAGAAATGAAAATAATATTTCAAACTAAATTCTGATTTTTCTCTCGAGAACTTATTATAAAATATCTTATACTTAAATCTTAAACATTCTGCAAATATAACAGATTGAATTTCAAAATGAAAAAAAAAATTTAATTTTCTCTCTCTTTTTCCTTTTTTTTTAACAAATCATTCTGAATGAAAGTAGACATGCGCAATAGCAAATGACTCTAGTTTTTCAATTAAATTCAATGAGATTAATTTTTCTTTAATAACCAGCTGGCCACATCGACGCTGTCCCATTACCAAAAGCGACTCGGAATGTCACCAGGGCGACGTTCCCAAATATTACGAGGATGCGTGGCAGCCAACAAGCTTTAACAAAGCCGATGGTTCGAAATCCACGATTTTTCGGTAAAATCTCGTTCCTAGCGGGCCTTGGCCTCCCGGACGCCGTTCGGCCAACCATCACACGTAACGACATTCTGACGAATGACCGATCCCCAACGCGATACTCACTGAGTTATAATTTTCCACCGAGGAAATGGGGCCCTTACGTTGCGGCAGTGTATGAGCCTTTACCGATCTGGTCATTCTTTCAAAACCCTCTGGCCTACCTCGCCGCCGCCTTTAATCCCTTCAATTGGTTCACTAGCAGTGGCAACACCCACACCGTCACCAATCCCACTAATTTAGTTGTGGAATCCATTGCGCCGGATAAGAGTCAGGGTGGCGATGTCCTGGTGCTTGTTCAGGAGCCGAATAACGAAATATCGAACGAAGATCGTAATGACATAATAGAGAAGATAGAAGTGAAGATGGAACCGGAAAACCATAACGATGCAAGAGTGCGTATTCTTGTGTGATTTTACATGCAAGGACGTCGCTATCGGATATTGTTAAGTTTAGTGCATATATTGAGTAAATAGAAACTTTACAATTCCTATAATGAAAAATAGGATATAATGAGCATTTTTTTTTTTTTTAAATACAAAAAAAATTTATTCAACATTGCTTGTTAATTTTGCTGTAATGGGTCAAAATAATTTTTAATAAATTATACCATTTATTCTTGCCTTTATTGAAATACTAAAGGAAAGTGTATTAAAACTACATATGCAATGTAATGGAATTTTCGCGATTCAATACATCCACAAATAATATAATCCTCTGTACTTAATAAATATGACTCTGTTTAAAAAGAGTTAACAAATTAATTATATAAAAGACGAATTTAATTTTTAACATTTAATTAGTTTTTAACGAGCTTAATTTTTAATTAGATATTTTTTAATAACTAACAATGTCGAATAGATCTTGTAAAAATATCTGAAATTTAAATCAACGATTAGTTTAAGTTGATAATACATTTATCAATTAATTTTTAAATATTTTAATAAATCCACTATAATATTTGAAATCTGGAACTATAAAATACCATGAATATTATATAAAAGTATTTTAAATTATAAATCTTTAAATTAAATTTAAGATTTTTACACACACACACACACACACACACACACACACACACACACACATACACACACACACACACACACACAAACCAGACACACAAACGACTTGTAATCTATACTTATTCGAGGAAATATGATTTTTTGTTTTTATCATACGTGCTTATCCATATATATTACAAATAAATAACACATTAGCTTTTAACAGTAAAACTGTATATTTTTCAATTAAGCAACAGAATTACACAAAAAGTGACAAGCAATATATAAATTAATTACTTTTACTCGTTTCAGTTACAAACTACTATGAACACTGAACCCTCCTATACAAAAAGAAATGATGCAACGACAAATTATGTAACAATTGGAGATGATTTAAGAAACGCTGACTTGATTGCTGAAGAGACAACTATAAAATTATTTGAAGAAATTCAAATGGAGGATGAACAGGACAGTCAACGAGCAAAACCAAGCACACGTAAAATGAAGAAACATAATGTAACTACAACCTCAAGAACTACCACAACTATGAGTTCAAAAGTTATGCCCGCTAGTCCAGGTTCAAATAACGTAACGACTGAAATGACGACCATCGGCTTTAACGATCCGACAAATACTTTGGATCTAAATTCCACTCAACACAACAATTCATATACGTACTATAATAATGGATATTACTACCAAGGACATCCACAAAACGTATCAAACATAGAATTTACCACACAATCAACGATAACAAATTCCTTTATTCCAGTTAGATATCACAATTTCAATGAAATCAATCGTTTTTTACAACAATATCCAACCAGTTATTACGATTTCCCCGAATCTCAGCCTCAAGAGTCATTCGATCATCATAACAATCGTTTCGAACAATTGCCACCAAAAATTAACGAGTACTCTAGTAGAAAAATTGAATATTTACCGAGTAACGATAATACTTTTTTTTTAAACGGTTTCAAACCGAGTTTCCCAGTTCGTCTATAATCATCATTTATTTTTTCACTCTATAACAGCGGCCATATATATATATATATATATATATATATATATATATATACAATAAAATTCAATTTTTTTTTCAATAATAACAATAATTATTGTATTTCATAGAATAATTATAATTAAATTGGTGTAAAATACTTCTTTTTTTCTTCTTTATAAATAATCGTGCAAGCACATATTATTAGTTAATTTAGTAAATAAAAATTTATGTGCATTTCAAAATAAAAATTTAAATAACAAAAATCATTCGTATTAAATAGTTATTTTCTGTTTTTTATCACAAATATAGATAGAAGTATAAATAAGTATGTTTCATAAATTTTTAACTATTTCTATTGTGTTACGTATGCCAAACTATTAAATGCAATACTTTTAACGATTTAACTTAGTAATAATTATAGTAATAAATTAATTTAGATATACAAATTTTTCATGCTTTCTGAAGAATCTGCTTTTTTTCGATACCTCGAAGGGAAACGAATATCAATTCTATTTGGCCTCTTTCATCTTTGTTGATAACGAATAAATTACTTGATTGTCTGCCACTTCCTAATGTGTCCGTGAGAGTGTCTCATATCATTAATATATATCATTCGAATTATGTTGAATAAAAACAAATATTTTAACATAAATATTTTATAAAATTATTAGCACAATGTAAATGAAATATATAAAAAATATAGAATGTAGATAGAGAGCGCATAAATACGTTTTATATGGATATCATTTTTCGAATTGATTTGATTCAATTGATTTACTTCCCAAATAAATGAAAATAAAATGACATGCTACGTAAAAACATTGAAGGCTCATTTTTATTTAATTATTATTTATTCATGTATCCTGTGGGCATCATCTATGATATAATCCGTCGGATATAGCCACCTGGTGGTTTAATTCCGTACTCTTCTATCTAATATTTACCGATCTCATTGTTTCAACACATAGAAACTCACGTACAAGCTAAATAATAATTAAAAACAAAATAAAAAATTATTATAATAAAATTTTAACTAAAATTTTGTAATAATTATGTACAAATTTAATAGAATTTCTTTATTTAAAATGTTTTATTATAATAAAATTAATAAAGTTATACTTTTATATATACAATTTTAATAATGTATTTAATATAAAATTATTATAACAATTTAATAATAATTTCGTAAAAACCTGTGATAAGTGAATGTGTTACCAAATTGAAATAGTATTTTAATCAAATAATACATATTGTTTAAGAAATAGAGGTGCCTGTATTAGGAAGCACTGATATTACAAAATATTGATAAATATATAAAAATTGTCGCTAAATAATATTTGCTGACATCTACATGAACATTCACTAGTATATAAAACCCACTAATGATTAATTATTTATTTTTAAAAAATTAACATTCATTCAAATGAAAACAAAATTATTCTTGGATTAAAAAAAAGTACTTTATAGATAGACTTTAGGGTAGATTTGTAATTAATCGAACAATAATTATGTTTACTAAAAATATAACAGTTAATATAGACGATTCTTCGTAAACGCAAGCAAGAATAATAATAAAATAACAAATGATAAAAAGTAGTTTTCGCTATTAACAAATAATTTCTTATTGTCAATTTGGAATACGTAATGTACTAATAATAATACGTGATCTATTTGGGAAAAGGAAGGACTTTCTAATTGATGTATAATATGCAAAATTTTATATTAATTTTCAGCATAAAATTTATTTTCATCATTACAGTGCAGATATCATTACATTATCAATAATAAAGATTAATAGTATTGTTTCAATAATTATTCAAGGATTTTATATAATGGCTGGTAAAAAGAATTTGTGATATTTTATGTAATATTCTGAGCAATGCAAATGAATTGTTCTCTGCATAGTTATTTATAAATTTTTAAAAAAAATCGTGCGTAAGTACATAATTTTCTATAACTAAAAATTGTTTCGTTTCCAATATTTACTGTTCAAATAAGATTTTAAAATTTCAATTAAGCGAGAAGTTATTAGTTATGATTGTAATGCAGGTTCGCTTCTAACTCGGACTCGCTCATCCTACATATAACTTCGGAAAGTTTGTTCATTTGTCAAACAGCTAGCAACTAAAAACTAAGCAAATATTTTGTCCAATTCACGTTAGTATCACATTAGTGCCCAAGTATAGGATAAAACAAAAGTTGTCGTTGAAAATTCGTTATTCGTTTAATCCAAGAAATTAAAAAACAACGATCAAAAAAAAAGAAAAAAAAAAAGAAGAAAAAAAGACCTATTGAATTATTTTACAATCAAATATCATAAAAAGTAACGGGCAACTCTAACGATCCATGGCCCGCTTAACGAAGCACCCCCCCCCCCGTCCAGCAAACAATTCCCCATACTGTTTGAACAATTGCTCGGGTAATTGTACAGTTGCCGTCGCGCACATCGACGAAGAAATCCGACGTAGCATTGACAAAAACAGACGAGATAAAGAGCGATAGTAGACGAAGACAGCTCGAAAGTGCTTCGAGGCCCGTACTTAACAATTTCCTCGTCTCTTGCTCCCACTCGTGCGAGCGAGAGAGGCAGAAATAAACGAAGAGATCGCGCACGACTCCCAAACGAGCGCCCAAGCCGACGGTGATGCTCGGGAGTAAGGCGCGACCGAGCGAGCCAGAGTGAGCGAGAGCGAGACACAGAGACAGAGACAGAGAGAGAGAGAGAGAGAGAGAGAGAGAGAGAGAGAGAATGATAGAGGCGACGAATTATTTTTGGAGAAGATCGGCAGTCGAGCTGCCAGCGTCTATTTCGAGTACGCCGAGGTAGCCGGCAGCATTGTACGAGTGCGCATTGCTATTCCCTTCTGCCTTCGCTCCCCGTTAGCGCGAACCAGAGGCAGAAGGAGGCGGAGCGCGGCGCTTACACGCACTTCAAAGGGGGCCATCTTTCACGCGCGATGCAGCGGCTCGGTGCAGTCGCGAAGTCCCTTCGTATTTTCGACGTCGAGGATGGCTTTTTGCCGCGGGGATGAGCACCGGCCCTTATCCTCGGCGACAATGGTCGGGAACATCGTCGGGGCGCACTAGCGTACCAACGCGATTCCCGTTTCTCGAAACTAGGAGACACCGGAATTATTCTATCGATCCAATATCATTTATCGCAATGGTTCAATACTTATGTGCTCGCTCGCGCTACGACCAGTCGGCGCCTCCCGCCGTTCCTGTCCGCCCGGCGCGAGTCTCCCATCCCCGTCGCCGACACCGCCGTCGTCGTCGTCGTCGTCGTCGTCGTCGTCATCGTCGCGCTCTGTCATCGTTGTTTCTGCATGCTCGATCTGTGCGTCAGGGCTAAAATTACGGAGGCGAATTTCGAAATATATTATTTATTCGTACTGATGCTGCGGAGTTCATAGAGATAATTATGTGCCATCTGTGTGAATTGGAGATTGAACGGCCCGATTACGGGAAAATGCGTTATTGTGCGTCTGGCTCGAGGCTTGGAGCAACTCGCGATTGTCGAATGAGATTGGTAAATTAATTCGAAATGCTTCGCGCTGCAATGCCGAAATTAATTCTATTAAATAGCCAACAATACGTTTAGAGCTCGATGTACGCGTTTTCTAATCTAAAAAAAAAAAAAAAAAAGAAAAAGAAAAAAAAAATAACGAATTTGTCAAAGCAATAAATTAGCTGTCAGTAGCCTATTCGGTGATATTTTGTTTGTTTGTTTGTTTGTGTGCGTGTGCGTGACGGGGAGGAGGAGGATCGGTGATATTTTGTTTGTTTGTTTGTTTGTGTGCGTGTGCGTGTGCGTGCGGGACGGGGAGGAGGAGGAGGGGGGGGGAGGAGGAGGTAAAAATACGATTATATAAATTATAAAACGAAAAAATTCCATTCCAATTATAGAATTAGATATTACAATCGCTATATGTAGAAGACATTTTTTCAAATTTAAGCATACCTCTGTAAATTCAATGAACGTATAAAATAATAATTTGTATCTATAATTTATGTAAATAATTTAAGTGAACTAACCTTTATTCTTGAAAATGATATATGCACAATACGTAAAGGCTCAAGTCCCCGTGGATAATACGGTTAGTTTGGGAATACGTGTGCCAGATAAGAGGTAAGGCTTGATATCAGCACAGCACCTAGTTAAAAAATATATCTAACGTTCGTATTTAATTGTATTTAAGAAATTGTATTTGAAAAAAAAAAAAATATTGTACAACAATTGCAGCTCTAATATTATCAAATTCAAGAATAATATCATTAATCCTAGAAATGACAAAATATGTATATATGATTCTCGTAAAGATTACAAAATACCCAAGATATTCTTTTTAAATTTGTAAAAATTTGCCATATGTGAAATTAAAGCTTATATTGTTTACATTTATAATGGGACTATTAGCTTTTGTTTTCGGTTATATTTTATACGCTAAATAAACGGTATTACTGTATGTAGGTATTTTAAAAATTTATGTTGCTAACTCGGTGTAGCCGAAGAAGTTTTCTAAATATTTTCTAGATTATAGAACAAGGTTATATTAACATATCATAAAATACTGTATATAATGTCTGAAGTATTTAAATTATTATTGAACTATACATACATATTATATTATATATATATATATATATATATATATATATATATATGTATAACGTTAAAAATATACATAAATGTAAAGAAAAAGCGGCTATGAATAAATTAATAAAACTTTTTTGGATAAAATAAATATCCTTTGTATATCGTATTATTAAATTTGTCAACAAATACACTAAATACATGTATATATACTTATAATACGATGCTTTATTATCATAAAATATCCACTATTATAAAGTTTTTTTTAAGAAGATATTTTATATTCAATATCAATCTTAAAAACATTATATAGTATATCCTAATGTCATTTGCTCTAAATAATATTCACACACACACACACACACACACACACACACACGCACGCACACATTTAAATTTATTTTTATGTCTGCAAAAACTGTGATAGTAACTATTGT